CTCGCCTAAGGGAGAGAGGGGAGCCGGGGCTCCTGCAGCAGCCCCGTCAGCGCAGATGCACGCCACGGGGCTGGAGGGGCGACTTCAGGTGGTAACTGGACCATGAGAAGCCAATGAAGTGGGTCATGAGAAAGTCACTTTGCTCTCACTGTTCACCTGACTGCATCAAGGAGAAGGCTCCCTGCCCATCTGGATTATCTTTCCCTCCTTAGGCAACAGCGTCTCAGCCACAATTTACCAACATTGTTTAAAGTCATCGAGTTTATTTTCACTTTATTATTTTAATTTACTATTCTTGGCAAGCTTTTCACTTCAGGTAGTAATAGTTATATCTTTTGTTTAACCTTTTTATTTTGCCCGAGGGCACATGTTCTAGGGGGGAGCAAGAGAAAACTTGCCCCCCAGGTGGAGTCCTAGACCAGGTTGCTTGAGAAACACACTGGGCACATGTGTGTGTACCCCAAATAGGGAACAGTCAGGCTGAAACGCCCCTCTCCTGCATTTCTCCCTCCTTTGGGGAATTCAGGGCATGCATGCATATTTGCCCGGCGTTTTTTTGTTTGTTTTTTCTTTTTTTTTGAGAGGTTTTTGCTATAGGGCGTGTGCACTCGCCAGACAGACAGAGAGAGACAGAGAGACAGACAGCGAGAAATCACCCCCCAGGGGGGCTGGCCACGTCGCAATCCCTTCTCCATGCTCCTCTTGGGATCTAAGGCACGCACACACACGCGCCCGGCGTGAGTTTTAAGCCACCGGGTCCAGGACTCAAACCGCGGTCAACTACACGGGAGTCCAGTGACATAGCCATTACACTAATTGCTGGTCCCTAAAAAAATATTCTCTTTTCCTTCTGTCACTTCACTACCAAACACTTCTGGAAGAATTCCAAATCATTCTGTCCTACACGTTAGCCCAATGGTCCTAGCGTCTGTAAATTATTTTTCAGTGACATCACCAGACTTTTCAGGACATTACCAGGATACACTTCAGTGACACAAAAAATAGCAAAGGAGTGGCATAAACATGTGCTGTCCTTGTTTGATGACACAACCAGCAGCCTTGGGAGCTGGGTGGCCTTGAGGGCAACAATGTTGTAAAAAACATGAGAGAATTGGAGACCAGCCGGTAGCATGGTGGTTAAGCACTGGACGTTCCCATGTGGCCAACCACGGTTTGACCCTTGGACCTGGTTGCTTGTTTCCTCATTTTCTCTCTCTCTTTCTCTCTGTCTCTCTCTGGTCAAAATAAAATAAATGAATGAATAAATAAAATTAAATAAATACATCTTAATAAAAAAAGAGAATTTACCTGCTAAAAATCTACCACTACTCTTCAAGAACCCTCCTTACATTCACAAGGATGAATGTCTGTCTACTCCTGTATGTCTGCAATATTTTACGACAAAATGTTGAACTGCCACGAAAAGGACAAGCAGAGAAGATTATGATAGTAGGGAATTCTTGGAAATGTCGATCATAAAAAAACAAACTTACCAGTAATAGATTTTTATCAGTGCTGAAGGCCACAGGAGGAATGAGGCTACAAAGGCCAGGATCGGGATGGCCAGCGTTCCGCCCGCAATCACAAACATGTTAACCACATCGAGGTCCATCCTGCTGACACCTGCAGGGGCTGGAAAGAGCAACGGCACGCTAAAACTCTGTCTCAAGAGAAAGGGTAAAACACAAAGGGGAAAAGAAAGGTGAAGGGCCCAGTAGCACCAGAAGGAAACGCCAGGCAAGTGCATGACAAAGTGAATGCAGGTGGCCAGCAGGTGGCGTGGTGGTTAAGGCACTGGATCCCACACGGCTGACTCCAGGTTTGAGTCCCAAACCCAGAGCTTGAGAATCATGCTAGGCACGTGTGCATATGTGTCCAAAGTCCCAAAAGGGGCATGGAAGAGAATAGACTGTGGTGTGACCATCTCCCTGGGGGGATCATTTCTCACTTTCCTTCTCTCTCTCTGGGGAGCATGTGTGCCTTACACAAAAAAATCTAAAAAAGAAAAGAAACTAAATAGACAGAACAATGAGATACAATAAGAAATCTTTAAGAGGATTCTGAATGAGGGACCAGCAGTTAGCATAATGGCTATGACGCTGGACTTTCAAGTAGTCAACCGTGGTTCGAGTCCCGGACCCGGTAGCTTAGACTCACACGGGACATGTATGCGTGCGTGCCCAAGATCCTGAGAGGGGAATAGAGGAGAAGGGATTACAGTGTGGCCATCCCCCTGAGGGGTGATTTCTGTCTGTCTCTCTGGAGAGTACATGCGCCCTATAGCAAAAACCTCTCCAAAGAAAAAGAGGATCCTGGATGAAAAACAACATTGGGTTGGGTTGGGACAGGCAGATGGAATAATGGTTACATCACTGGACAACCACATAGCTGACTGTGGTTCGAATCCCAGATCCAGTGGCTTAAATCTCATGACAGGTGTGTATGTGTGCGTGCCCAAGATCCTAAGAGGAGAATGGAGGGGAAGGGACTGCAGTGTGGCCATCACCACTGGGGGGCAATTTCTCACTCTCTGTCTTTCTGGCGAGCACATGTGCCCTATAGTAAAAACCTCTCTCAAGAAAAAAAAGACTGTTAGGTCAACCAGGAGAATCTGAGTAAGGACCTCGTATTTGATAAAATTATTGCATCAGTGATACAATTCTTGAGTGATGAAGAAACTGTGGTTGTGTGTGTTTAAGGAGGCTGTCCTTGTTCTTAGGAGATAGCTGCTCAAATCTTAAGCAATAAACAGTATTTGCTACTCACTCCTTTAAAAAAAGAATTATTTTATTTAATTTTATTAGTTAATTTATTTTGGGGGGGAGAGAGGTTTTTGTTATAGGGCACATGTGCTCGCCAGAAAGACAGAGAGAGACAGAGAGACAGAAAGTGAGAAATCACCCCCCGGGGGGATGGCCACACTGCAATCCCTTCTCCTCTGTTCTCCTCTCGGGATCTTGGGCGCGCACACACACACACACATACACACACGCGCCCGGTGTGAGTTTAAGCCACCAGGTCTGAGACTCTAACTGCGGTCAACTACATGGGAGTCCAGTAACATAGCTATTACACCAATTGCTGGTCCCCATTATTATTATTTTTAAAATTTGGCAAGAGGAAGAAGGAAGTGGGGGAGTAAGAAAGCAAGCTACCAGGTCCAGGACTCAAACTGCAATTGCCCACGTGGGAGTTCAGCACCTTAACCACCACATCACCCACTTGCCTCATCTGCTACTCACTTTTTAACTTTTTTTATTTTATTTTATTTTATTTTTTTTGGAGAGGTTTTTGCTATAGGGCGCGTGCGCTCGCCAGACAGACAGAGAGAGACATAGAGACAGAAAGCGAGAAATCACCCCCCAGGGGGGATGGTCATGCCGCAATCCCTTCTCCTCCATTCTCCTCTCGGGATCTTGGGCACGCAAACCACGGGGTCCGAGACGCGAACCGCGGTCGACTACGTGGGAGCCCAGCGACATAGCCATTACGCTAACTGCTGGTTCCCTTAACATTTTTTTTTTGGAGAGGTTTTTGCTATAGGGCGTATGTGTTTGCCAGAAAGACAGAGAGAGACAGAGAGACAGAAAGTGAGAAATCACCTCCCGGGGGGATGGCCACACTGCAATCCCTTCTCCTCCATTCTCCTCTCAGGATCTTGGGCACACCTGGGGTGAGTCGAAGCCACCGGGTCCAGGACTCGAACCGCGGTTGGCTATATGGGAGTTCAGTGACATAGCCATTACGCCAACTGCTGGTCCCCCTCTGCTATGCACTTTTAAAAGTTCAGGGGGGGAAAGGTAATAGGTGTGTTGGGGGCGATGAGAGAGCAAAGAAGCAAGTATGGTGAAATGTTAACCTTTGGTAAAGCTGGTTGAAGGTTATATGGCATTATTCTTTCAACTTTCCTATAGACTATTTTTTTAAGGGTTTTGCTACAGGGCACGTGCACTTGCCAAAGAGATACAGTGAGTGGGAAAATGAGAAATCACACCCCAAGGGGGGATGGCTGCACCACAATTCATTCTCCTCCTGGGATTCTGTGCACACACATGCTCTCAGCATAATTTTCAAGCCTCCAGGTCTGGGACTTGAACTGTAGTCGGCCATGTAGGAGTCCAGTGCCTTCACCACCATGCTACCCACTGGTCCACAGGGGCCAGCAGCTGGCATGATGGTGAAGGTGCTGGACTCCCACATGGCTACCACGGTTTGAGTCCCGGACCTCCAGCTTGCTCCCTGCTGCCCTCAGTTCTGTAAGGGCTGCTCTTTCTCACCCACAGCCCTTCCACCACCGGCTGTGGAGGAGTCTCAGTGCACACCAAGGACTAGCTGAGCTGGCCTATCGTCCACCAAAGACAGTGTGAACTCTGACTGCCTCAGCTTCCTGGAACTGACTCTCCCATCTCTAATAACCAGCTCCCTGCCCCCAGGCCAGCTCCCCCACTGCCTCATGCCTTTCCTCCTGCCATCTGTCCCCTTCACCTGGAGCATTCTCATGACCTGGCAGTCTAAGGGACTCCGCTCAGCCTTCGGGACCATGAAGTGTCAGGGAAGCAGCCTGGTCCTGGAAGTCCACGCCTCCTAGACTCACTTCTAACTCAGAGGCCTGCTCCTGGCCCGATCTTCGAAAACTGTGATCACAGGGTGTATACTGGAGCCCCGACAACCTTCAGGTGCCCAGTCCCTGCCCACCAGACCCACTGAACCACACACACGGCAGCTGGCCTGCAGGGGTTTGGGAGGGAGTTCACAGAGGCAATCCCCATCTCGATAAAGGCAGCCTTGGGGAAGGTAAATCTATGCTGTTAAAAATCCATACTCACTCTCCAAAGAGCACAGCCTTCTTTCCCAATTGCTTCAGGCTCTGGCAGGAGCTGAAAATGAGATTCTAGAATCGCAAGAACGAAAATGACAAAGCATTAAATCATATTAGGGAATATGAATGAAGCACTCACAGCGGCAGATCGCTGGCTTCTGCGGAGGTGAGGAGCTCTCTTCCTCAGCACAGGCAAAGTACAATCGGCCTGCAGTTTTATGAGCTGCCTCTGGTTCGGGTAGCCTCTCCTAATTAGGCAAACACACAAAGGGCAGGGCATCTCAGATAAAGAGCCAGGCTCAGGAAGGGTGAAAGAAGGTCAAAGGGAAAATCTGGTGAGAGATCAGCAAGGGATGGGGTCAAGCCTGACCCCAGGCTGTATGGATGGGCAGTAATAGGGAAACAGGCATGCTCAGGGGTGTGGTTTTGGGGACTACAAACTTAACTAAGACTCTCCAAGGACGATGGAGTCCGCTGCTTCTCCAGCGGGGTTAGGGTTCATCCCGACAAGGTATGCAGAAGGGAATGGAAGAAAGGAACCTCAGGCAACAGGATACTGTTGCTACTAGAATGACTTAGCAAAGGGCAGCAAGGGGTGGGGGTTGTAACACCGCAAACAGGACCAGGCAGAAGCAGGGAGGTACAGGCAATGGCTCAGGAGCAGGAGAGGGGCCTAGGAAATTAAATCGGCAAGGGGCCAGCGGGTGATGTGGTGGTTGAGGCACTGGACTCCCACATGGTCGACTGCAGTTCAAGTCCTAGACCGGGTGGCTTGCTTTCTCATTTTCTCTTTCTCTCTCTGGTGAGCACACATGCCCTATAGCAAATTAAAAATAATAATAAATTCAAATTAAAAATAAAAGAAATGTATTTTGAAACAAAACAAAACCCTGAGGTGTTTCAGATGGCTCAAAGAGTTAAGTGTAAAAAAACAAAACCATGAAACTTCTAGAAGAAAATACAATAAGTCTGTTTTAAAATATCTCTATGTGGAAGGGCTTTCTCAGTAAGGCGTAAAACTCAGAGGCCATAACCAAGACTAATAGGCTGAGCACATAAACACTTTTTTTGGAGAGGTTTTTGCTATAGGGTGTGTACACTTGTCAGAAAGATAGAGACAGAGAGATAGAAAGAGAGAAATCACCCCCCAGGAGGGATGGACATGCCGCAATCCCTTCTCCTCCACTCTTCTTTTGGGATCTTGGGCACACACGCACACACGCCTGGTGTGAGTTTAAGCCACCGGGTCCGGGACTCGAACTGCAGTTGACTACATCAGAGTCCAGCGACATAGTCATTACGCCAACTGCTGATCCCCATAAAAACGTTTTTAAATGCCCACATGAAGATGTCATAAACAAGAATAAAGTTGTCAACATGTGGGGACTTCAAAAAGTTGGTGGAAAAATGGGATTCAAGTACGAGTTTACTTTGGTGCTAAAAACTTGTTAATCTACAGTTTCTTTGTAATACACAGTTTCTCTGACCATTCTGAAGATCCCTTGCATGTAGCAGAACTAACAGACTAATTTTTTAATATATAAAGCTTTCCAACAAATAAAGAACTAAATTTTTAAAATCTAATGGAAAATTAAGTAAATGACCTGAGCAAATAATTTACAGAAAGGAAATAGAAATGACTTATAATTATTATTATTTTAGGTTTTTGCCATTGGGTGCATTTGCTTGCTGGAGAGAGACAGAGACACACTGAGAGGGAAAGTGAAGAAATCCCCCCCTGGGGGAATGACCATACAGCAATCCCTTCTCCTCCATTTTTTCTTGTGATTTTGGGCACATATGCGCACACACCTGGCGTGATTTTCTTTTTCTTTTTTTTTTCCTTTTAAGAAATTTTTTGTGATAGGGTGCGTGTGCTCACCACAGAGAGAAACAAAGAGAGGGAAAGTGACAAATCACCCTCCAAGGGGGAAGGCCAAGCGCAATCCTTTCTCCTCCATTCTCCTCTCGGGATTTTTGGGCACACGCACACACGCCCAGCATGCCAGGTTGTGGTCAGCCATGTAAGAGTCCAGCACCTTAACTGCTGCATCGCCTGCTGCCCCGCAAGGTTATTTATCATGGTATTATTTACAAAGGCAAGACTGGAAATAACTCACATGCTCACTCCTAGGGGACTTGTTAAGGGGAAAAAAATGGTATAGCTTTACAAAGAAATATTATGTATAGCCATTAAATAAAAATAAAAATGAAATATAGTCAGCCCCGTTAAAATAATGAGGCAGTCTTACTTAACCCTATGGACAATGAATGATCTCCAAGGTACATTATTAACTCTAAAAAGCAAGGAGCAGGGTCAGCCCCATCGCCTAGTAGATAAGGGAGCCAGATCCTACATGGCCAAATACACGGTATGAATCCTGGCTGCAGCAGCTTGAAGAACATGCTGGGTGCAGGAGCGTGCGCTGCCCCAAATCCCAGCAAGATGGAGAAACAGAGGAGAAGAGAACGAGGTGTGACCATGCCTCATGGAGAGTACTTTCTCCTCCTGTCTCTGGTGAGCACGCACAGCATTAAAAAAAAAAAAGCACAGATCAGAAGAGAGTGGAAAGAATAACACCTCTGGCATTAAAAAAAGAGAGTGAAAGAAATATACGTTATGCTCATATATGAGTGAAATCTTTTTGGGTGGGAACATGAGAACTGGTAGTCAAGGCTGGCACTGGGAAGGGACCCTGGGAGGCTAGGGACAGAGACAAGCGAGGGACCCTTCACTGATACCCTCTGTACCATTTGAGTTGCTACCAAGTGCATATAGAGAGTTCTTTCAAGTTAATTTAAAATATCATAGAGGGCTGGCCCCCCAGCACGGTAGTTAAATGCCGTGGACAGGGAGCTGCATCCCCAGCGACTGAATGTGGTTCAAGTCCTGGCTCCAGGAGCTTTGAAAACATACTGAGTGCATGTGCATGTATGCCCCAAATCTTGATGGGATGGAAAAATGGGGAGGAAAAGGGGTTGTGGAAGGACCAGGCTCCACTGGGGATGGTTTCTCACTCTCTCTCCCCCTCATGGAAGCACACACGTCCTCTGGCAAAATTTTTTAGAAATGCAAATTTTTAAAAATCTAAATATAATTTAACATTCAGTTCTTTAGCGCATTAGCCACGTCTCAAGCTCTCAAAAGCCACACACAGCAGGTTGTAGCTGTCATGGTGGTCAACCAAAATATAGAACATTTTCATTCTCACAAGCCACACTAGTTCCAAAGGCCTTGGCATCAGGACTCTGCTGGGAACACTGTCTGTCGGTCTCTCTTGCTCGTGGAAGAGAGAGCAACTAAACTTTGTTTCTGGTGATGAGGAAAAAAAGCCAAAAGTGGCTGTCAGCAGGTGGCGTGGTGGTGAAGGTGCTGGATTCCCACATGGCTGACCCTGGTTCGAGTTCCGGACCTGGTGGCTTGCTTTCTCACTTTCCCTCTCTCTCTCTGTCTCTGTTTCTCTCTGGTAAAACTTAAAAAATGATGATGATGATGATGAATAAAATGAAATAATTCTTACAAAACAAAAACAAAAAAACACATACACACAGATGTGAAAGCTGTTAGGATGAAAATCCCCCACACCTACACATTGTTTAGGTAGCTGCCGCTCTGATGCCAATGTTTGGAGATAGGGAGAGACTCCTGCCCACGTGACTATCCGAAGGTTAAGTCTGCTTGGAAGGTACTTTAGTCCTTAAGGCTCAAGTCCAGCTCACTAAGAGGGGAGATAAGGATTTTTCCATCCTAGAGCCATATGACCACTTAGAAGTCATAAACTGCTATCTCCCTTGCAGCTTGGGGAGAGATTCTGATGACAGGGTTCACTCTGTCCTGCTTTTCAAGGCACTAGTGACTGGTTTCTGGGGTTCTCATATAAGAACCAGCCCTGCCCATCACCCCATCCCTGCTGACTGCGCCCTGAGCAGCACAGGGCCGGGGGGGATCAGAGAGGATGGAAAATCCTGCCTCTCTGCCTCTCGATCCTCTGGGGAAGTGACAGCCAAAGGAGGGGCAGGCAGGCAGCTCAGCTGTCAGAGGCTCCGCAGGGAGCAACATCGTGCTGGCCACGAACAAGGCCCTGAAATGTGAAACACGCATGGTGGCCTGGCCTAGCACCTTGAAAACATCAGCCTCGTGGGGCGGGATGTGAGCTCTAGGGACAGTCTGAAGTAACCACCGTCTCGAAATCATGCTCAAAGCAAGAAAACCTGGGTCGACCCTGTAGCTTCGTGGTTAAGGCAGCTGGATTCCACATGGCCCACCGTGGTTTGAATCCCAGTCCCAGCAGCCTGAGAAACACACCAGCCATGCTTCCTGTGTGCCCCAGAACCTGACAGAATGGAAACATGGAGAAGGGAGGTGCCCGCTCCCCACTGGGGTGCTCTCTCCTGTCTCCCTCTCTTTCTGTTTCTCCCTCTTTCTATGGTGAGGGCACATGCCCTCTGGTAATTAATTTAAAAACAAACAAACAAATAAAAAAAGACAGCCCTACAGAAAAACAAGCCAGTCTCCAGCTGGCTCTCATAAACGCCAAAAGCCACGTGATCCTTGACCACGAAGGACCCCAGATTCTTCAGGCTTGCAAACACTTTTCTCTGAGTCGGTTCAAACACGTGCACCCTCGTCAGCCGAGGTCACCTCTCAAAGGTGAAGTGCTAGAAGGAGCGTCATCTAAGTGACAATTTTCCCCATGACTGGGAGGAATGAGAACAGCCCTCTGTTGGGTGTGCTGGAGCAGAGGGTGAAAACAGAACCTCGGCACCAAAAACACCCCCTTGGCCAAAGCTGCGCCTCTAAATGCAAAGCAAAGCAAGCAGATGAAAGAGGGTTTTGTCATTCCGAACGGAGGTGAAGTGGGCCCACAGTATTGAGTGAGGCAGGAGCAGAGGTGGTGTTGAACAAAAGAGGAGCCCTGTTCATACCCAGCAGGTCTGAGCAGGGCAGGATTTCTGGCGGGTGGCATAAAGGCCTACTACAGCCGCACCCTCTGTGAGCTGCCCTCACCCTCTCTCTAGTCAGAATCTCCTCCCAGAGATGCCAGGAACCAGGAAAACGTGCACCAGGAAAA